TTTGGTGTGCAGAGAGACCAAATGATACAGAAATGTGGTTCTTTTTTGTTGCTTTTGTTTTGTTTTGTTTTTGTGTGTGTGTGGGTGTGTCATTGTTTGTTGATGTATGCTTTAACATGGGAGATAGTAAAGCATACTTGTGAATGGGAACGATGCAGCAAAAAGAGAAAAATTATGATGAGAGATGGGGAAGATTTTAACAGCAATATTTTGAGGGAGAAAGTGGAGGTGGAGTTCATTGCGCCAGTGCATTGTTGCCCTTCTGCAGAGCATGGACAAGCCACGTGTGTGAAAGGGGCCCGGGCACAGTGAGCGCCCAGTGTGTTTTCCATGGCGTCGCTGTACTAGTAAGTCTCTCCTGTTCCAACACCACTTCGAAAAGCTGCCAGAAGCCTGTTCTTTGCTGTGTTCCTTTCTTCATTACCTCCACACCTCCAATCACATCCGTTCTTGGAGGATAAGTGTCCCCTATCCACAAAGTCTCCCCTCACTTTCCTATTTGGAATGCATCTGTCATACATCTTAGGCCTATAACAAGTGATTTTGTATTCAACTTACAGCTTTCTAATTTGTCTTGTAATTATTTGAGTTTGTAGCATCATTAATGAATTATAAACTATTCAATATAGAGTTTATTTCTCATTTACATTTGAATTACTGCAAATCTGCCTGAACACTATGTAATGTACAAATATGAGTGAATGGAAAGGCTAATGTAATTAAAAATTGTATTTAATGAGGCATATAGGACCAATGGGGGTCGATTGAAAGGCTGACACTTTAACCAATTATTTTAGGTGATCACCGATTGTCCACTTTTAGATACTTAAAAAATATGCTAACTGATTTATGCACATGAACGGACAGATTAGACAGCGTGGAATAGTTTCTCAGTAATTTCCTGCAAATGACAACTGCATTTTAATTTCTAAACTGGGGAATATGAAATTCAGCCACAAAATTCAGACCTGGCCAGGGTAGCCAAATGGTTAGAGTGCAAGCCCATGTAGTGTTCAATTCCCAGTCAAAGGCACATGCCAGCATAGTAGGTTCAATCCCAGGCCCTAGTTAGGGTGTGTGTGGAAGCAATGTGCTCTCTCACATCCCTCTCTTTCTCTCCCCCTTTCTCTGCCATCCCTCCCACACTTCCACTCTCTTTAAAAACAATGGGAAAAAATAATAAATAAATGCAGCAACATTTTCTTTTCTGTTTGCTATTCTTTATCGAAGGGCCCCACGCCTTATGGAACCCCAGCCAAACCAGAAACCAGACAGGTCCTCCATGTATAGCTGGAGGCCTAGAAGGAGAGGGGGTTGACTTATGATCCCACCACGCCTCCCTGAAACAGAAACCACCACAGACAGACAGGCAGACAAGGGCTGGGGAAGAGAACTTGCCTCACCCTAGGTGCTCCCCCCATCACCCCCACTTGAAAAGAAAGTCAAACACTGATTACTCAGCACCACAGTCCACCCCCATCCCACACATAGCAGCCTTTGTGGGACTCCCCTCTGCAAAGCAACATTTTTTTGCAATTTTTTTGCCCCTTTAAAGAGAAACTGTATACCTGCAAACTGACGCCTAACAGTTCATTTAAATTATCTGAACTCTGTAGCAGCTGAGGGTAGAAAGCCCATCTTTGTGGACAGCCAATTGCAACATACAGAGGGACACAAACACAAAAATGCTTAAAATACACGTGCAAAAGAGTGAGTATGATGCCTCCCATATACAACATTCCTCTTCTTTTCTCGCTTTTATATTTAAAAAAATGCATCTAAAGCATTACATTATTATAGAAATAAATCCCAATTAACGCTTCTCAAGTCCCCTGATGTCTGTTCAATCCTGAAAACTCCTCCAAAATGGGAAGAGGGACCCAATTCAGGTGTTCAGGGAGAAATCAATCCTGTTCCTCCTTTACCTGCTGGATCCACCAGCTGGGACACCACTGAGGACCCGTGGAGGCAGCAGCTGTAGGCTGTGACCACCGCTGTGCAATCCTGTGTGGCACAGACTCCTCTTCCGGCACAGCTTTACATCTGAACCTGTAGCACGTGTTCCCCACATAATTGTGTCCATATGTCCCTGGAAACTTGAAAACCAGCTCTCATGGAAGATGGCTCTCCTGTCCATTTTTTTGACATGGGTACTAGCCTTTCAAGACGTCAAGCATACTGTGTGACAAAAAGAGGGAAAAGTATCTATGCACTGAGCAAAATAAAGCCATCGCTAGATGAGCTGAGCAGTCGACTGTAGAGTGAAAGAAAGATGGGAAATTCCATGAGAGAACAGGTCATCCATAGATGGGGGTGGGGGTAGGGGAAGCACTCTCTGTTAGGAGCGGGGCACGAGAGGGAAGGACAAAGCACATGAGACACCAAGCTGCCCGGAGACATGAGCCTTCCTTTACCTCTTGCAGTTGTAATGGATTTTTAACTAGGGGCAAGATGGACAGCTCAGCATCTCAGAGAACCCCAGATATAGGGTGTCTATACCCACTGGAATATGTCCCCAGGTTCTCTGGCAAGCACCCATGAGTAACATGAGACACTGGGCACATGGCCGCTGTGCCTCCTTCGGTAACGCAGGCAGGAAAGGTTTGCCAGAGATTGAGAGTGGAGCAGGTGCATCTTCAGAAGCCCATTCCTTCTCCAGAAACTCTGTGAGCATCAGGAAATGATTGGCTGCAGCTACAGATGAGCCCCAAACGTCCTGTGTCCTGAACCCCTTTTAAATATGAAAATATGAAGTAAAAGACACCTTCCCCTGGAGAGCAGGAAGAACCCAGGTCCCGGAGCTGACCTTTTGTTGCTCTTTCTGCGGGGCAGGACAGGAAACCTCCCATCAGGATCAGCGGCAGCAAAAATCCTATGTGTGCACAGAATTCTGCCCTTTTCAAGGCCATATTTGGCTGCCAAACCAGAGGGAGAGAACCTTACTCACACCCAAGGTTTCCGCCACTGAATGACAGTGTAGTTGGCACTGCTAGTGGGGAGAAGTGGCAGGCTCCAAGCAAAGGTGCGCAGACATCCCGCTTTTGGCGGGCCAGTCCCGATTTTTAATGGTTTGTCCCGCTGTGGGGCGCGGGACAAACTGTTAGAAATCGGGACTGGCCCGACAAAAGCGCGAAGCCTGCTCACATTACTCCAAGCACAGGAGAAGCTGGCAGGGCTGCTGAAAAAACTTCTATCCATGGGGACAGGGTCTGCCTCAGATTGAGGGCGGAGTCTGAGAAATGAGATACCTCTCCTGTTGCCCAGCAGCCTTGCAGCACATGACAAGGAACACCCTGGTGAGTTCAGGAAGGGGCAAGAGTATGGAGGGAGCAACCTTATAAGATGCAGGTGTGCAGGGCCTGCTGCAGGGCGCGGGTGACCCAAGAGCACGTTAACACCCTCCTCCAAGGCCCCAAGCTCCACGCCAGCCCAGGCCATGGTGGCACAATACCAGAGGATATCCACGTGCAAACAGAATGAACCTCGACTCTTGCCATGAACAAAAATTAACTCAAAATGGATCACACACCTACATGTAAGAGCTAAAACGGTAAAACTTCTAGGAGAAAAACACACCCATAACTTCTGAGATGCTATAGAGCGGCAAACAGCCAACAGAACATATATGAGTGACAAGTAAGCACATAGAGGATGTGCCCCTAATTTTTAATCGTGAAGAAAATGCAAATGTTTAAAACCAATATGAGATACTACCATCCAAACACTAGAAATAAAAAGACCAACCATACCGGATTTCGGTAAGGATGTAGAAAAACAAACTCTCATTCATTCATTGCGAGGGGGGAATGCAAAAGGATACAGTCACTTTGAAAAAAACAGTTGAGCAGTTTTCATCTAAAGACAAACATGCGTTTGCTCTATACACCCGACACAGAGCCAAGAGAATTGCAAACACATGTCACACAATGACCTGTATGGAAGCCTTTGTAGCAGCTTAAGTGGCCAGTGCCCCACACTGTGAACAATGGAAATGTACTTCAGCTGGCGAATGAATAAACAAGTTCAGATTTCCCTGTATGTGGAATGCTATGCAGCCACAAAAAGGAACAAAATACTGATACGTGCATCAAAACGGATGATTCCTAAAAGTACTACACTGATTTAAAAACTACACACAAAAGACAAAGACTGTATAATTTCATCACCTGAAATTCTAGAAACATCAAAACTATGGAAACGAAACAGATCTGTGGATTCCAGTGGCTAGGCATGGGAGGAGGGGATTGACTGTAAGGAGGCCTGAGGGCAACTGGTAGAATAGTGAAATTCCATATCTTGATTGTGGTGGACATGATACAACTGAATACATTGGTCAAACTTGCAGATGGATTTTTTTGTATATAAATTTCATCTCAATAAAAAAAAAACACACATTAAAACTTAAGGTATTCAACCCTATTTACCAGGATTCTGAGCCACTGCAATAGTCTAGCAAACGGTGTTGCATTTGTACATGAGTAGAGAATACTGACTGTCCAGTTGCCTCTGAAATTTCTTGGCCACAACTTAGCATTCACACGGACCAGGTGCATCCTGATTGAACTCAAAGAACCAGTTGGGACTTTTCTGACATTGCTTTTCCCCCAAAAGGATTAATGAAGGAAACCATTGCCACAGGATGTGTAATTGCTTAGAAAAACTCTAAGAATAAAGGTTAGCAGAGAAACATTGGGGACTGGTACATGAGCTTCTCAGAGAGAAAGAATAAACAAGTTTAGGATGGAAGTCAACTTCCTTTGCTTTGTTCTTTGGGTCAGATTCCACGGAGCCTAATTTGGCCTTGTGTATGTTTCCTTGAAGGTTTTAGCAAAACAAAATTTTTAAAGTCTGTGCTTTCAATTCCTCTTAAAGCTGTACCTGCCCCAACTCACAGAAACCCTTTGTGACTCCCCAATGCTCTGTGATGCAGGCCTGGCTATAAAGGCAGGAGTCTGAGCTCTCAGAGCTCAGTTGCTTTGAGCAGCATTGCGATTTGGAAAATGGATCTCAGTCTATTTCTGAATAGCCTCCTAGAGTTTTATCTGAGCTTCGGCTTAGAATATTTATATGACAATCTCAACATAATTTCCATCTTGGTGTTGAGCTTGTTCCTCTTCTTTTTTATTTTCTTTGTGGGAATTCCATCAATCCCAAACTTCCGGAAAAATGAACATACACAAAAGGTAAGGAATCCCAACAGAGTTCTTCATTGTTGTTGCCATTTTGATTCCGACATTTCTAAATGAGTTTGATTTGAGTCAGAAAGGCATTATTCTTAGATCGTATATATCTAAGTTTCCTAGGGAGAAGAGGAGAGAAATGAGTCCTGATTGCCCATTCTTTCTTTTTTATTTTCAGCGTCATGGCAGAGCCAGGAGGAGGAGGAAAGGTGGGACACAGGAAGGTAAGGTTATGCCTATTCCACCTGAGCTCCCCAAGGGTGATCCTTCCTCTCTTCTTTCCATGAGGACCAGGTCCACGATCTCTGTCAGTTGGTAGATACAGTGCCTGTCAGGAGACAGAGCCCCCATAGAAGAGGCTCATGGAAAGACAGAACCTAAGATACTGCTCAAATTCCCTGCTCTGTTGTCCCTGGGTAAGAAGCAGTGATGGACATGGGCCATGGGTGTTGCACAATAGACGTTGAGAATCAGAGCTTGTGTCTCCTGACTTTGAGAAAGTACTTTAACTTCAGGATGATCATATTCTTCTTTATTGTGACCATTGGCCCTTCTGCTTCACAGAGTGGTTTTGAGCATCAAATGCAATAATGTGTATAAAAGTGCTTTTATCAATTAAACAGCACACATGGGGACCTTATTCATATTATCATTTGGATCATTTGGCTTCATTTACTAATTCTTGAGGGTTTCAGTCTGTTATCCCAATAATCTTCATAAAGGGACTCCTGTGTAATGCCTATGTGTCTACCTTCATTTCATGTAATTCACTCTCCTTGTTCCCAGGTTTGAACTATTATCACAGGAAGGAGGAGGAAAGGGAGCTGATTTCTTTCCTGAAAAGGTGAATAGTCTTTCCCCATTTTTCTTGGTGTCTCTCTAGCACGTTCTGTGCAATTTCAGGAATTCAGTGGAGCCTTCCCTAGTCATGGGAGGAGTTGCCATAAGAACGGGAATGTGAGTGAATGCTTGGGATGAGTGCAAATTGAGTGCATTATGAAGTCATGTATGTGGAGTAATATGAAGGGGCAGCAGGCTTCAAGTGGCCCCACCCTCACCAGACCCTCCTTTCATTGTTCTGGTCCTGTCTCCTGCAGCCCCCTGGGACAGAATTATGATATCACTCGCTTTCGTCAACTTTTATGTCCAAACCCCTCCTGTGAGGTGTGTAATAATGCAGCTGCTGAAATTAATCAGATTTTCTCAAAGTCTTTGGAAGTTTCTACTCCATCTGTGTCCCCTGTGGCTTCGATTGCTCCTGTGACTGAGCCATCATTCAGTCAGTCCTCTGCTATCCCAGGAGTCCCTACAGGAGAACTCGTACGAACTCCTCTGCCTGAGCCTTCCCCACCACCTCCCTCAGTTCTCCCCTTAAAGTCAAGGACCACTTTGGGTAATTTTGTCTCATCCTCACCACCGGGTCAAACTCTGCCTCCAGAGCCAATGGACCATCCTTCACCCCAACCCAAAGACGTGTTCTCTTCGACCTTGACACAATATGATCTTCATCAAGGGTTTCTTGCCCTCCGTTCTACAAAGATCTCTCTTGGGGCAGACCCTGCAGCCAAATTTATAGATCCTAGACACCTCTTATTTCTCAGCCCTGATGAACATGACTCAGCTCAGCAGCACATACATCCTAAGACCCGGGATAATCATGTAAAGCAAAAACTTACCCAGTTTTTTTGGGGTCTTCCATCTCTGCACTGTGAGTCTTTGTCCTCTGCTGTTCATGCCTCAGGTGACTGTGCAGTATTCTTTAATAGCATTTCAACTCCTTTCACAGGCCAAAAGTCCCCAGGACCTCCTTATTGCCTAACTCCATCCTTGCCTGAGGTTCAACCTCAACCCTTGCCTCAAACCCTGCCTCAATCCCAACACTTAGATCTTACTCAGATCCAACCCCAGGCCCACATTCAATCCCCACTCCCAATCCTACCATCCAGTCCCATTACCCAGAAGAAGGTCTGTGAAGTGTTTTCCTGCCGACCCAAGAATGAATCAGAATGTCTCACCTCATCTGAAACTAAGCATCTGGAATCAGATGTGTTGCCAAAGGAACAGGAAAGTTTGAGGGGCTTAACCTCTGTGGTTCAAAGATCTAAGGCCCATGTTGCAATATCCATCAATCCTGTAGAGTTTCCTCTTAAGAGAGAATTTCGAGAGAAATTTGAGAGTCACCTTAGAGTGAGGCTCATTCAATACCACAAGGGCCAGCCCTGCAGGACCCATTGGTCTCTCTCACTACTTGAGCCAAAGAGCAACACTAAATCGGGCGCCTTCATGCCCCTGAGAGGAAACTCTGACTCTCTTATTGGAGACAAAGCAGAAATAGAAAGTACAGCTAATGACCTGAATTTTCCTCTCCCTGCCACCTCACTGTTGGTCAATAAAGAACATAAGCCCACTTATATCCAACTTAAAGTCTCAGAGGAAATCCATAAAATTTTGAAGGCCAAACTGCCTGTTGCAAACACCATTAGTGGAAGAAAAAGTCAAAGACATTCTCTGGTAGCGAACATTCAACCCCCAAAGATGCCTGCAAGGCGAGCAGGGACCCCACACATGACTAACAATAACATTGTATCTTCTAAGGACAGAGCAGAAATAGGACAGGGCTCAAATGGGGACAAATCAGAACCTACCTTCATAGCTAGCGTGTCCAGGGAAATAGTCAGGGCTGAGGGGTTTAATGCCATTCAACCCAAAACAATTAGCGTTTTCACAACCAGCAAGCCAGGAGTCTCCCAAGGAATAAACAGAGAAACTACTGTGACCATTGAAAACCACCAACCATCTAAATTATCAGTTCAAGCTCCTGACTTCACAGAACTTGGAAAACAAGTAATGGCTGAGTTGAAGGCAAAGTTAGAGAAAAAGCATAGTCAGGCCCAAGACGAACACAAGGACATGTCCCATGACTCAGACAGCTTGACTGACAAAGTTTCCCTGAAGCTGGCTAAGTGTGGGCCCAGTGTGGTCATGGAAGCCCCCCAGGTGCTGCATGTCAGGATGAAGAAGCAGCAGGAGCCATGGCTTCCTAAGCACATGCCACGGTCCTGCCAGGATCAGAATGTTCCACCAGCTGTACAGAAATATATGATGCACCCTCCCCCAAACCCTACAGAACCCAAAAATGAAGAGCTCGGTGCAGGAGATGCAGGATTGACAACTTCCCAACCTGGAGGGAAGAAATTTCCTCCTCAGGGCACAGCTTTAGAGGAGAAGTTTGGGAGCCAGTCTCCCCAGACCCAATCTCATATGGGAGAGGATCTACCCAATAGCCTCTTCCTAAGTAAAGTGAAGAACTTTTTAAGACGACTTCAGCCAAAAATAAAGTGCAACATTCAAGAAATCCTCCAGGAAGCAGGAATCCCCATGGATTTGGCACAGAGCAGAGGAGGCCCAGGTAAAAGCACAGGTGCCCTTACTGGGACCATCATGCAAGTTCACAGAGTAATATCAAATATTGGGAAGTTCCCAGAAGAGAAACTGGGGCGCCAGCAGGCAGGAAATACCACCTCCCCTCAAGAGCCCCTTCCCTCGGCAGCGCAGCCTGGGAAGCCTGTGCAGAAGGAAGCAGTGCAGGCCCAGGCAGAGCCAGGCCAGGGGCATCCTTCCCACCGCAGAACTCCCGCAATTAAAAATGCCATGTCCAGCCGCCATGCAGCTATCTTGGCTGAAAAGGGCTCTAGACATACCATAAACAAGGACAAACACCCCCAAAACGTGGCATTAAAGCCACATCAGAATGACCCCCAATCTGTGCTCCTCAAGGGGACTGTGCCTCCTCCAAGTCCCACCTGCAGGCCTCAAGCCACCAAGGGGCCTCTTTCTGTTCCCACCACTGCTGGAGGCAATGCGTTCAGACATCAACCTCAACAATTTAGACACACGATGCTTCTCAAAAACTTCCAGGGGGAACCATTTCCCACCCCCAGATAATTCCCCCCTGGAGGAAAATATTGACTTGCCTAATAAAGATTTCTATAATAATAGTGATGTCTTCTCTGTGTCCTGAGTTGGGGGCATGGGTTTAGGGTTTCTCAGGGCTTGTACTTAGGGAAAGAAAAAGTTCAGCTTCTACTGATGGCTTCCTTTGGCTTCAAAAGTGACCATTCCCTGGAGCTCTGGTTGAGAAAGAGAGATCATCTGCCCTCCCCCAAAGCCCACTTCCCCTGGCTGACGAGGTTTGAGGAGATGGGCTCTGTCTCCCACCATAGCTAAACCTTAATGAACATGGAGAGCAGCCCACACCTTCCCCTTCAGGGAATGCTTTATGTCCTTTAAGGCTGTAGGGAACACAGGCCTTCCACATCTGATGAAGATCAAGGATGGGTATATTTTTTTCAGAAAGTCTCAGTGAAGAGGAGACAGTGACTTAATCATTATTTAGAAGTCAGTGATCAGAGGATCCCACAGGTGGATGAACCCTAAATGGGAGTGTTTGGGGAGGGGGGTATTTTTCTCCTGACAAATCTGCACACACAACCACCCTTATTATAGTGGTCTGAGGGAAGGCAAATCCACTTGTACAGGCTGAAACACAAATATGAAATGAATATCCTTATGAGCACTTCAGGTAGCTTTCCCAGTAAGCCTTGTGAATCTTGAGTGTAAAGAGAAAAAGCAAAATAACAACAAACAACAGAGCCCCTCTCACTACTACACTAGTATCTTCTTGTCCAGAGTTATGGCATTGGCCTTACAATGTCTGAAGCTAGGGATCACAGAAAAATGCAGACCAAAAAGGAGCTAAATGTGGAATGGGGCCCAAGGCAGGGAACATGAAGAGGTGAACAGACAGCAGAGGGCTCTAACACCCACATGGACAAGCAGCCAATAACACAGCCTCCCAGTTCCTACCCCATCGAAGTGTCCTTTACTTTCACTCCAGTGCAGTTACTTCCACACTGCAGACCTTATTACTAGGAATTTTTCTGCCTCAGGAATAATATAGTCTTACCTCTTCCCCTATGGTCTCATCCCCTATCCTTCCAGCATAGATGCCCATTGTTAATTTTTTTTTTAAATTCCTAGCCATTCATGTTTCCACTCACTATCAATCCACAAAGCTCTTGGCTTCCTCCCTCACTCAGGTAGACTTGATGGTCTATCTAGTGACTCACATTTAAAAAGCTCCACCACATGGGCCTCTTCCAGTCCCCCTGAATCCTTCCAGGCGAAATTTCAACTCCGTGTTTTTTCCAGAAATGTCTTCATATAAGTAATGATCACTACTGGATTACTAGTAAATCTCACAATGGATTCTACTGGTGCCATGAAACTATCTGGAAATCATTCATTCCACAAGTAAAGATACCATGCTTACATGTGAACAAAAATATGGAGCTTAGTTCCCTCTTTCCTTTGTCTATCCCCTCTACAACGCTCCTTAAACCCATGGCAAATCTCACTTTCCTCAAACTGAGGCCATCTCCACTTGCTCAACGAATCTGCTGGACACAGAGGAGCAAGAAGCCGAGAGATGGGGATTTTCAACAAAACACTTAAAAATAACACTGTATGTGCTTTCAAATATTTAGAAGAAATTTTCCTGTTATGCATGAAAATGACTTAAATGCAGATTAGATACACTTGATAATCTCTTTCCCAAAATACCATTAAAGGTAAAATATTAGCCGAAACCGGTTTGGCTCAGTGGATAGAGCATCGGCCTGCTGGCTGAAAGGTCCCAGGTTCGATTCTGGTCAAGGGCATGTACCTTGGTTGCAGGCACATCCCCAGTGGGGGGTGTGCAGGAGGCAGCTGATCAATGATTCTCTCTCATCGATGTTTCTAACTCTCTATCCCTCTCCCTTCCTCTCTGTAAAATATGAATAAAATATAGTTTTTTAAAAAAAATAAAAAATAAATAAATAAAAGTAAAATATTAGATAAAAAGATGGTCACTATCAATAGCCATCAGAAAAAAAAATGCAAATCACAAGCACTAGGAGATAGCAGCAACAGATACACTCACAAAAAGGCTAGAATCACAGAGTCAGGTAATTCTCACTGAGAATGTGGGGAAAGTGGAACCCTCACACATAGCAGGCAGGAATGAAAAATGGTGCAGCCACTTTGACAAATAGTCTGTTCCTTACTCAAAATGTCAAGCAGAGAGTTTCCAATATGACCCAGCAACACCACCTCTAAGGACACACTCAGGAAAAATGAAAAGACATGTCCATGCTAAATTTGTAAACAAATGCTCACAGCAGTAGTTTTCAGTATTCATAATACTTAAAAGGTGAAAATAGCCCACATGTCCATCAACTGATGAATGATAAATAAAATGTGGTACATCCATGCAATGTAATATCTTTTGGCAGTAAAATATTAATACATGCTATAACATGGATGAGCCCTGAAAGCATTATGTAAGTGAATAAAGCCAGTCACATATGATTCCATTCATATGAAATGTTCAAAACAGATAAAACTAGAGAAATAGAAACTACATCAGTGGTTGCTTAGGGCTGGGGGTAGGGGAAGAAAGAGGAGGCGAGAGATGATAACTAAAGATAAGTTTTCTTTTTGAAGTCATGAAAATTTTAAAATTGACTGTGGGGATGTACATATCTGAAAAATACTAAAATTATAAAGTATACACTTTACATGGGTGAATTGTATGGTATATAAACTATTCTATATAATAAAAGCCTAATATGCAAATTGACTGACGGGTGGAATGACCAGCAGAATGACTGGTCACTACTACACACACTGATCACCAGGAGGCAGACACTCAATGCAGGAGCTGTCCCTGGTAGGGGGCAGGGACAGCTGAGAGGGAGGTGACTAGCAGCAGCAAAGGCAGCAATCAGGGGATGGGCCAGCCAGCAGGTGACGATAGGCTGCCAGTGTGGGCGGGCCATCGATCACCCCTCCTGCTGGTTGCCCCTCAGATGGCCCTGATCACAGATAGCCTAGAGTCCCTACCCATGCACAAAGTTTGTGCATTGGGCCTCAAGTATTTAAATAAGTAAAGGATTTAAAAAGAGTAAGTACTTGTGAAGAACAAATAGGGGAAAGGATAAGACAAAAGATGTCAACACATTTCCGGGAGATGGGGATCCAGGTGAGGAGAACTAAGTGACTAGCAGAGCAGGGGAAGTGCTGGCAAACCCATCACAGCACAAAACCCCAGGAGATAAAAGACCTGGTGGCACCAGACAAGAAATGAGGGGTTCCATCTGGTAAACATCTTGAATTTTTGTTCTTGTATTGTTTTTGTTTTATTTTCTGTATAATTTTTTAAAATCATCTATTCTTTGGTGGGGGCATGACCTTCTCCAGTAACTTTTAAAATCCTTTGAGAAGTTAGCACGCTTCATATGTGCAGTGGGTGCCAGGATTCTTGCCTGGGACAGATTCAGACCATTGTTTTAAAGTTGGCATTGCACACTTCTGGGGTCTGGGTATGGTGGTGATGGTGGGAACTACAGAAATCAAAGCTAGAAATCTCAAAGGTCAGGTAAAATTCAGGAAAATAAAACGATGGGCCATTTAAAAAAAAATGCATGTATTCTATATAATAAAAGGCTAAAATGCAAATTAACTGAATGGCAGAACAACTGGTTGCTATGATACACAGTGACCACCAAGGGGCAGATGCTCAATGCAGGAGCTGCCCCCTGGTGGTCAGTGTGCTCCCACTGGGGGAGCACCACTCAGCCAGTAAGTAGCCAGGCTCAAGGCTGGCAAGCATGATGGAGGGCATTTCTCCTGCCTCCATGGCAGTCAGACATCCCCTGAGGGTTCTAGACTGCAAGAGGGTGCAGGATGGGCTGAGGGAGCCTCACTCTCCAGTGCATGAATTTTGTGCATGAAGCCTCTAGTTTATAAATAATTAAACTGTGGAAGAGTTGCATGAATGGCAAAACCAGAAACCATTTATCCAGATTTACCCACTAACATTTTGACACATTTGTGATTTCTCTCCTGTCTCTGTTTCTGTCTGCTCCCTACCCCACCACCTCTCTCTCTCTTTTTTTTTTTCATTACATATATGAAAAATATGCATGCATTTCTGAACTTCCTCTTTCAATATTTCATTGAATAGTTTTAAAAATATTCTCTTACATATGGTACAGCAATTGAGTAATTTAACATTTGGCAGAAAACTTTAACTTAATCTCCCAGTCATAGTCTATTTTTGTATATTTATCTAGTAAGGGCCTGTGTGGGGTTTTTTAAAATCTCCATTAGAGGATTCAATCCAGAAGCACACACTGCACTGAGTTGTCATGCATCTTTAGTCTGAATTATGTTATTAGTATTTGCTTTTTATGACAAGGCCATTATTTAAAATATTTTAAATTGGTTTTAGAAAAGTAGAAGAGATGAAAGAGAAACATTGAGAGAAAAATTTGGATGCACTGCCTCCTGCATGCCCCCTACTGAGGATCAAGCCCACAACCCAGGCATGTGCCCTGACCCAGAATTGAACCATCGACTTCTGGTGGATGAGACTATTTTTCTGCAAATATAAAATATATAAAATTTTACCATTCTCACTGTCCATTTGGGCCAATTATAGTTTTCAAATAAAATATGAATAACGCAAAAATGAGAAAAATAATAGAAGAAATGAAAATAACTTATGTAATAAAGAAACTGAAGTTGGAGAAAAACTAGGATTAAAACACTATTTACTCCCATGTTATTTAATATAATGTGAACAGTTATAAACTTCTCTGGAAAATGCATATGGAACCATTTCATGTTGGTGGGGGTGGTTGTGGATATTTGTCCAGGGAGAGTGGAGATTCAGCTGGTTAGGATGATGAGGCAGGATTCAGCAGATCCCTGTTCACATTTTTTACAAGCTTCCTGAGCAAGAGGAAATAGGCATTTTCATCGCATTCTAAGAAAATATTACTAAAGAATCCCCATGAAGACTGTTTAAAGTTCATATGTCTGGACTCTATCCCCAGAGA